TATCTGTAGAGAGAGGCAGAAAAACATGAAAAAATCATCAAGTTCCACTACTTGATCTAGAATTTACTTATATGAACCAAAAAAGAACTGTAATTTAACATTTATATGGTATGTTAATGTTGTGATGTTCCAAAGAACAATGCCACAGTCAAGAATGTGTACAACCCTAGCCAGGTTGTCTCAGTGGATAGAGTGTTGGCCTGCAGACCAAAAGGTCCCAGGTTTGGTTCGGTCCAGGGCATGTACCTTGGTTGCAGGCTCCTCCCAGCCTGGGCCCTGGTCAGGGCACATGCAGGAGGCAACCAATTGATGTGTTTCTCTCACATTGACGTTTCTCTCTGTCTTTCCCTCTCTCTTCCACTCTTCAAAAAAAAAATCAATGGAAAAATATCCTCAGGTGAGGATTAATAAACAAACAAAAAACACACACAAAAAAACAAAAAAAGAATGTGTACAGAACCCTGGTTGGTGTTTGTCAGTGGTTAGGGTGTTGACCTGGGCACCGAAGGGTTGAAGGTTTGATTCCAAGTCAACGGCACATACTTGGGTTTCAAGGGCATGTACCTGGGTTGCAGGTTGGATCTCGGGGTGCATGCAGGAGGCAACCAATTGTGTGACACTCACATCGATGTTTCTCCCTCCTGCCCTGCCTCCCTCCCTCCCTTCCTTCCTCCCTTTTACCCACTCTAAAAATTAAAGAAAAAAATATCCTCAGTGAGGATCAACAAACAAAAAGAATACATGCACAATGCTGCAGCCATGATATTGTCCTTTATTTTGACAAATTTGTAAAAGGAAGCTTTAAAATTGAATATACTGAAAAGTTAAATATGCTTGCTGTTAAGAATTTGTACTTCTGGGAAGAGTATACAGAGATCATAGCTCAGTGTGGGAGTAATGGAGATGGGATTACTGTAGTCATATTCAAAGAGTCAGAAGGTAAGACAGTTGGGAGAGCCTCTTGATTCATTGAATACAGTAGGTTTTATACCGGGCCTTAGCTGCTGCTTCTTGCCACATTAAGAGACACTTGGAAACTGGTTCAGAGTCCTGACCAGTTAGGAGCTTGTGATGTTCTTATCCTAATGCATTCTAAGTCAGAAGCCCTGAAACTTTTGTGATGTAGGATTTATTTTTTTTTTTTTACTTGAAATGGCAAAGTGACTAATAACACTCAGAAATATACTGTCCGTGGAACAAAAATGGTTTTTGAATATTATTCAATTTAGTTCACTACATTCCAATGTGGCTTTTCATTCTGTGAAATGAAAAGAATGGAGCATTGTGAAATGATCCTATGCTGCACACCATCTACTGAAACTTAAATTGCCACCTGCAGTAATTTAGAGGCCTTTTTCACTTAGATGCTGACCATGATTACAACCACTGACTGGTCCAATTTTCTCTTTTGTGGGCTCTTGCTTCACCCACCGCCTCCTAAAGGTAGCTTTCCCCATAGGTTCAGACATCTTGCTGAGCAGTCAACCTGGCTAACTCATCTATCCCCACAGCTTCAGTGATCATTTCTATGCGTGAGCCACTCTCCACTCTACCATTTTAGAGTGCTTCCAACTCAACTAATCATCTTCTCCATCCTCCACCCCCAATAATATCTTCCTGTTGTTTTCATTTGTATTAATGGCACACCATTTTCTGGTTACCCAGGCTTTGAACTCCTCTTTCTCCCCCTTATTGTCCTTTAAGTCAATTGTTAAGTTCTGATTCCTTCTATCTCTTACATCTTCCTCTAGTCTTTCCCCACTCTAATTTCTCCCCTATATTACTGGAAGAGAAATCCTCCTGAATTACTACTCCCCAGGTTAAAAAAAAAAAAGCTTTGGTGGCTCATTATGACCTATATCAAAAATCTAAACTCTTTTGCCTGGCATCAATACCCCCAAGCCATTTTGTACATGCTACTTTCTATACAGAATGCCCTCCTTTCTCTATCTCCTTATTAAAATCCGACCCACATTTTAAGGCCCCAGTCCAACACCATCTCTCCATAAAGTCTTCCCTAATCTCAGTAGACAGTAGTGAGCTTGCAGTCCTTTAAACTCCTATCCTTCTCATGATTTCTTCCCCCCTGGAGGCAGAAACTGTGTTGTAAGCATTTTGTAGTTCTCTGCAGAATCTAGCTTAAATAAGCACCCAATAAATCTACATTAAATAAATGAATTAACATAAAGGGCTCTGAGTGAATAAAGTTTATAGGTATCTTTCTATGTTGAAAATAGCACTCCCCAATATTAACTACTTATGTTGATGAAAACAAAGATGTTTAAGGGGTGCTAAAGCAATCTTGGCATTAACCGTTCATATGACTGTTTATAAGCAGTACTTGGATAAGTGATTTACTAAGAGGAAGGGAAGATACAGAACATAAGAATTCCCCCGGCCTTGTTGGATGCGGATGGGGGACAGCATCATCTCTACCTTAAGACTCCCATGTTAAGGCCATTATCATAATATGATCTCCAATCTCTTTAAAATTGTTACCCTCAAAAGTATAGGGCTGGAGTCAGCATATATTTTCTATATAGCTACTTGACCCTCACTTATCACACACTGCCCTGATATTTCCACTCTGCTCACTCTATTATGACTTTAAATAATAGTTATTCAAGTTAGATATCTGGCATGCATCCTTAATACTTCTTCTCCTTCAATACCCAGTAATTGACTTAGGTCCCATCAATTCTACCTTTAAAAAGTATTCACTCATATATGAATGTTCATAGCAGCATTATTTAGTGAGAGCTAATATGTGGAAACAACCCAAATGTCCATTGATAGATAAATGGATAAACAAAATGCGGTATATCGGTACAATAGAATATTATTCAGCCATAAAATGAAATAAAGTACTAATACATGCTGCAGCATGGATTAACCTTCAAAACATTATGCTAAGTGAAATAAATGAGACACAAAAGAATATATATCTTTCTTCTTATATGAAATAGCCAGAATAGGCAAAGTAAACTAGTAGGAAGTAGATTAGTAGTTGCCTAGAGGTGAAGCATAGGCGTCATTCAGAAGAAATGAGAAGTGAATGTTAATGGATACAGGTTTCTTTTGAGGATAGTGAAAATGTTCTAAGATTGATTGTGGTGATGGCTGCACAACTCTGTGAATGTACTAAAAGCCATTGAATTGTACAATTTAAATCAGTGAATTAAAAAAACAACATGGATGTATTTCTACTGCTGCTAAATAAGAAAGTGATGGTATCCTCTTATAGTTAAGAGAATGATAATGTTTAATTTTACTCCATTTTTGTCCTACAACATAGTCAGACACTTAAATTCATTTATGCAGTTAAAATTTTCCTCTATATAGTTTGCAGAGCAAAGGACATTGCGTGGTAAAGGGCTTTATCAGGGGGATCTGTGTATCTGTAGCGTGTATTTATACATGATGCCAATTTCTTGAAGCCTCTAAGCAGCAGTATTTTTCTCTGACTCCTATAAAGTATTCGTTTTGAGTTCCATTTAAAAAAAGAGATGGTAAAAATAAATAAATAAATAAATAAATGGGTGAATTGTATGGTATATGAATTATATATCTCAATAAAGCTGTTATAAAACATTTATATGGCAGTTAAAATTTTATACACACACACACACACACACACACACACATACACACTTTCCATTGCCCGCACCTTAGTCCAAGTTACCACCATCTCATAATACTACCACACAGCCTCTTTACTGGCCTCCTTCTTCTAGTCCTTCCCTCCTATAATACATTCTCCATATAAGAATCAGAGTGATCTTTTAAATTAAATGTTAGTCTCCTGCTTAAAACTCTTCAAGGGCTTCTAATTGCACTTAGGACTAAAATCCATCCTCATTATCATGGCCTGCAAGGGACCAGACAATATGGCATCAGCCTATTTCTCCAACCTTATGTTGTCACTCTCTTCCTTGTTTTGAATACTCCCGAGGTCCTCAAAGAGGCTAAGTTCTTTCCAAATGTAGGACCTGGCATATGCTCCATCCAAAAAGCTCTTCATCCCCTTAGCCTGGACTTATCCATCAGATCTCAACCTAAGCATAACTTCCTCAGAAAGGCTGATCATTACACACACACACCCCAATTAAATCAGGACTCTCTTTATTCAAAGAGCACCATTGACTTTTTTTTCCTTCACAGCACTTCTTCACGATCTGCACCCTCTTCTTTTTTTGTTGTTTTGTTTTGTTTTGTTTTGTTAATCCTCAACCAAGGATATTTTTCCCATTGATTTTTTTTTAGAGAGAGTAGAAGGGATGGGGAGAGACAGAGAGAGAAACATCAATGTGAGAGAGATACATTGATTGGTTGCCTCCAGCATGCCCCCTGACCTGGAGCCAGGGATCAGGCCTACAACCGAGGTACATACCCTTAACTGGAATTGCACCTGGGACCCTTCAGTCCTCAGGCTGATGCTGTATCCACTGAGCCAAACCAGTTAGGGCATTATTTGCACCTTTAAGTTTGTATAATTTGTTTACTGTCAACCTTCCCTGCTACACTGTTAGCTCCATGAGGACAAGTATTGTATGTCTTATTCAAGGTGAAGGGATTAAGAAGTACAGATTGGTAGTTACAAAATACCCATGGGGATGTAAAGTAAAGCATAGGGAATGTAGTCAGTACTCTATAATAATCAAAGCATAGTATGTTAATTAGACCAGACGACCTTCAGGACGAAGCCGGGGCTGTGAGGGAAGCCTGGGTCCCCAGTGCCGGAGGGAAGCTGGTGCCAGCAGCTGGGGGAAGGAAGGCCTACTCTTGCATGAATTTCATGCATCGGGCCTCTAGTATTCTAATAACTACGTATGGTGCCAGGTGGGTACTGGAAATATCAAGGAGAACACTTTGTAAATTATTTAATTGTCTAACCACTATGGTGTACACCTGAAACTAATACAAAATAATATTGAATGTAAACTGTAATTGAAGAATAAAATTTATAAAAACACTGTATATCCAGAACATTTCACTTAATACACATTCCACTTAATATCCGCTGAATGAGTGAATTTTCACAAAACCTTATTCCAACCTGCTACCCTCATTTAGAAGATTTGACCACTACTGTTCGAACAGCCAAACCCTGGCTCAGTTGGTGGGAGCATCATTCTGTGCACCAAAGGGTCTTGGGTTCATCCTGGTCAGGGCACATACCCAGTTCAAGTTCAATCCCCAGATGGGGCACATATGGGACGCAGCCAATTAATGTTTCTCTCTCACATCAATGTCTCTCTCTCTCTCTCTCTCTCTCTCTCTCTCTCATTGATCTCTCTCTCTCTCTCTCTCCCTCCCTTTTTCTCTCTCTAAAATCAATGAAGGCATACTCTCAGGTGAGGATTAAAAATAAGAAAAGAGCCCTGACCAGTGTTGCTCAGTGATTAGAGCGTCAACTGCACAATGAAGGGTTGGGGTTTGATTCCCAGTCAAGGGCACATACCCGAGTTGCAGATTACATTCCCAGGGTGCATGTATGAGACAACCAATCGATATGTCTCTCTCACATCAATGTTTCTCTCTCCTCTCTCTCTCTCTCTCTTCCCCTCCCTCTCTCCCACTCTCTAGAAATCAACTGAAAAAATATCCTCAGTGAGGATTAATAACAATGACAAAAAAGAACAGTCAGAAATGAGATGGAGGGTTGGGTGGGGTATTATTTGTATCAAATATTTTCTGATTGATTTGAAAACACATTTCTTACCTGCTCATTTTTTTGTTTTTTCTGTAACTCAAGCTGCTCCAGCACAGAGTATAAATGATTCTGAAAAACAAATTGTGTAAATAATGCATGCTGAGTCTGGAAAAAAAAAAGAAGAAGAAGAGCCAAGGGAGGCAAACAGTTTGGCAAATAGTTTGATATGTAAGAAAACTGTCAGTCATAACAAAGGAGTACTCTTTTTAAAAGATTTAGAGTATAAAAACTGCACCCCCTAACTACAAGACCATCAATTTGATTTTATATACCCTATGTAGCATTTTTTCTTGTCCTGAAATAAAGGTTAGAAATGCCTCATGTTACATTGTTCTAGTTAGCACAAATCCTTTGATTGTGGTGAACTATTTTTAAAAAGCTGGCTTGGGCCCTAACGGTTTGGCTCAGTGGATAGAGCATTGGCCTATGGACTCAAGGGTCCCAGGTTCGATTCCGGTCAAGGGCATGTACCTGGGTTGTGGGCACATCCCTGGTGGGAGATGTGCAGGAGGCGGCTGATCGATGTTTCTCTCTCATCGATGTTTCTAACTCTCTATCCCTCTCCCTTCCTCTCTGAAAAAAATCAACAAAATATATTTTTAAAAAATAAAATAAAAAATAAAAAGCTGGCTTGGAATTTGGTGTTAATGAATGCCTCCATTTCCCTGCACTAGGTCAGAATATTACTATTCCTAACTATGCTGCATGCAACAACAATACCATATATCTGTATCTTTCAAAGTGTTCACATCTATTATGTCACTTGGTCATTCAACATGCTTCAGAATTCCCTCTCTATAAACAGGAAAGCAAACATGGCATAAACATACATTTTCTTTTAGTTGAAATGTGTATTAATAAAAATAAATCAAGATATTGACTCTTATTCAAAGATGCATAATAAAATTTAAAAACAAATTTAGTTAATTCTCTTTCACTGCAATGAATACATTTTAGTACAAACAACAGGGTTCATCCTATGTCCTACCGCTTTCTGTGGTCCTTGGAAAGTTACTTAACCACTTTGAATTTAAAATCCTTATCTATAAAATGGGAATAGTAACAGTACCTATATTTCAGGGATGTAAGGATGAAATGAGATGATACATGTAAAATGTTAAGTTCTTTCTGTGCCTTTCACATAGGAAATGCTCAATATTGGAAATTATTATTTCAAGTCTCCTGGCTCCTTCCAAAAAATGCTTATGTGACATTATCAAAATTACTCAGATAAAAGGAAGTAGAGCTATTATTAGGGGGCTCTAAGAGGTTGTTTAGCTTCATGAGTGAACAAGAATGCTGCTCAGGGAAGACATGAGTGGAAACCCAAGATGGGATTTTAAAAGTAAGATACCAAGATATCTTTATACCAGCCAACAAGAATTTACCTTCAGTGTCAGGTTTTCCACTTTCTTGATGAGATTCTTTTGTCTTTGTGCTCTGCACTGAATCTCTTGGATCTTTTTCTCCATGTAATGAATATGCTTCCGAATTTCTACGACTAACAGAGATAGACAGAAATTTTATGTATCTAAACACAGCCTAAAATAATGGATTGAAATCCAAATCAACTAAAAGTCCACTATGTCTAAGGGGTATATGCCTGCATGTATGGGCGTCCATGCCCACATTTTCCAAATAAATCCTATATAATAAAGAAAAAATATAAAAGTCCACTACGCATCTGAGCAGTACCCTTTCAAACTTAGCCTTACAACTAATGTATGTTTAGAGTCAATCTTAGGCACTGCCACCCATTCTGTCTCACCCCTTTGTTTTTTCTTCTAACTTACCTATTAAACTGATTCCTTCCTTTGTCTTACACTGGCCAAATTCAATTAACTTGGCCTGTAGCTCCCTTTCCATATTCTCTTCATAATACTGTTCCGCCTCTTCATTATCCTCATAGTAAAATTCTTCTTCTTCATCATCATCATCATCATCATCATCATCATCATCATCCTCCTCCTCTTCCTCCTCCTCCTCGTCCTCGTCCTCGTCCCGGTACTTATCCTTTTCCTCCTCATCATCACTGCTATTGCTAGAATCATTGAGTATCCTCCGAAGCATATGATATTCTATTGGTTTTAAGCAAGAAAAAGGTGAAACTACCTGAAACTTTTCAACTGACTTCCATTCCAGCTGCCATTGTACTTCTTCACCTCAAATTTACTGGGCAATCAATGAATTTTTTAAAATATATTTTTATTGATTTCAGAGAGGAAAGGAGATGGGGAAAGAGATAGAAACATCAATGATGAGAGACTCAATGATTGGCTGCCTCTTGCACACCCCCTATTGGGGATCAAGTCTGAAACCCAGGCATAAGGCCTGACCAGGAATCAAACCGTGACCTCCTCATTCATAGGTTGATGCTCAAGACTGAGCCATGCCAGCTGGGCTAACCAATGAATTTTATAAGTAATTTTTCTTGTAGGAATATTAGTCCCTTCAAAAAAACAAGGACAGGAAATATAAAACAATGTAACATTCATTCATGTATTAAATGATCAAGATATTTAGAGAATCTAAGGGCCCATAGAAATTTTAATACCATAGATTGATGAGAGATTAGAACCGCAATCAAAAACCCACAAAGTACTGAGTGACCAATAAGCAGAAAGAAGGGCAAAGTCATCCTTCTCCTGTAATTGGCCTGTAAGTCTATAGAGAGTAGTCTTGCACAGCATCATCACCTACCCTCTCTGAAGCTCCTGTTTTTTGCCTTTATTAAAATACCTGGTGAGCTATCACCCCGCTTATAGCCACTTGTTCCTGGGGACATCTCAAAGCTTGGAACAGAGCCTTTACTTTCAATTTCCTTGGTTTCACCTTCAGCAATTACTTCCCATCCTGAAAGGGGCGGTCAAGGAAAAAAGCAGAAAGAAAGGAGAGGATGCCATTGAAAGAGAAGAGGCTCTCTGCAGAAAGTGCTATTTATTTTAATCCAACTTTAGGCCTTTCTATCCAGATTCCTAGTATGGAGAAGTGCATTATATTGAATTACACAAGTACTGGTAAATAAAATTTTATTTTATGAATTCACTGTTCCTAGCTAGAAAGTAACATTTCCAAAAATCTTAAGTTCTATACATCAAAATCAGCACATAAGTACCAGAAGTGAGGGCTTGTCAGCAAGTACATATGGAATGGAACAGACTACACATATCATATCTATATATATAAAACCCTAATATGCAAATAAACCAAACAGCAGAACTGAACAACCAGTCGCTATGACGTGTGCTGACCACCAGGGGGCATGCGCAGAACATGGCAGGCATCAGCAACAGGCGGCAGAGCACAGAACATGGCGGGCTTTGGCCGTGGTGAACTGGTGGAGCAGGTGAGTGGGAGCGCCAAACCAAGACAGGGCACCAACCGCTGTCATCGGGGCGAGCCTCTGGTAGTTACTGAAAATTCTTTGTTCCCACACACTGTGATTCCATTGAGTGGGTGTGAGCAGTGGCTGCCGGCCCTGATCAACCCTCAGGGCTTTTCCATCTCCCCCTGCTCCTGAGGAGTGATTGAGTCTGGCAGCTGCCGCTTGCACCTGCTGCTGGTGCCAGCCCCAATTGCTTTGCGCCAGCAGTGGGTGCGAGTGGGGCCAGTGCCCTCAGCGCATGGGAGCAGCAGCAGCAGGAGAGGGGCTGCTGGCAGACAGGGAACCAGGGGCCGTGGTGGGAGGGGCCAGAAAGGGGTGTGGAGGATGGGCTGAGGCCTGTCCCTGTGCCCACTGCAGCCTCACGGCCCACAGTTCCTGTCAAAGTGCATGAATCCGTGCACTGGGCCCCTAGTTTAATACAAAAGGATACGGACACTGACAGCTTCAGCATCAGAGTACAGCAGTCTTTTCACTTCCTTTTCTGAATCAGGAGAGTCAGTGCCCTGTACCAAAGTGGGGGGTAGGAGGAATATTAGTAATATCATTTAACACCCTGTATTTTCCAGGAAAGCCCTTTTCTACATACAAATTCAAATAATTAACCCTCTTTAAGATATCCATCCAAATTTATACTTTAAGTAATGCTATTCATGAAGGAATCTTTTTTAAATATATTTTTATTTATTTCAGAGAGAAAGGGAGAGGGAGGGATAGAAATATCAATGATGAGAGAGAAACATGGATCGGCTGCCTCCTGCACACCTGCATGTGCCCTTGACTGGAATCAAACCCTGGACCCTTCAGTCAGCAGGCTGACACTCTATCCACTGAGACAAACCAGCTAGGGCTACGAAGGAATCTTGACCAGGTTCTAGATTTGTGTATGTTAAGCTTATTCTTTTTCCCAATCAAATTTCTTGAGACATTTAATCTTTTTAACCTGCAACTCTATGTTAAAGACCTGTTTCAGAGGTGCAACCCTTAGGCCTCAATTTTTAATTACTTGCCTTGACCCACACTGGCAAAGAACTATAATTCCTTATTTGTTATTTAGAAGTAATTTAGTTTAAAATCCAAATTCCCAGATTCCACTTCCCCACATCTTTATTATTTATATATTTTCCTATTAAAAGATGGGTCTTAGCTATGTGTTCTCCCTTAAACCAGTTTTAGATAATCATCTCCACAGCAACCGATTTGTCATGCCACAGATAGAAATTAGAACTTTGAGGGGGGATAGTGATTGCAAACAACTGCTGGTAAAAAGTGAGCCCTGACTTATAAAAAATGGCATTTTAAATAAATATCAGAGAAAAAAGGCTGATTAGAATACAAGGGGTCACTGGCCAAACTATATCTTTTCCTGTAGGAGTTATCAGACATTAAACAATGAATTCATTTTTCAATGAATCAACTTCAGTGTTTGTGTGGGAGTGAGGTTTAGTGGTGAGAAGGCTTGAAAGTAGCTTTTATGATTTTTTTATCTGTTTGAAATTAATAAGCTATGAAATAAAACATACTAAGGGCAAACAATAAGGTTATATTATGACTGCCACCTCAGTAAAGCTGACTTCTTTGACTTGTTTGAAATCAACCAGCTATAAAATAAAATATAATAAACAATGAAGTTATAGTACGATTGTCATACTTCACTAAGGCTTAAAGAGTCTAAAACTATTCTTAACTTAGGTTTACATTTAGTAGGCATTCAATGAATGCTGTAGACTGACAATATAAAAGCCAAGGCAGCCATGTTCAAAGATTGAAAGACTAGTAAAGATGTAAATTCTCCTCAGATTAATCTATAGGTTTGATGCAATTCCTTATCAAAATTCCAACAAGACTTTTCTATAGACATAGACAAACTTATTCTAAAATGTAATATGTAATCTTTTAAAAATATGTTTTTAAATTGGTTTTAGACAAGAAGGAAGGGAGAGAGAGAGAGAGAGAGAGAGAGAGAAACATTAATGAGAAACAACTGGCTGCCTCCTGAACACCCCCCACTGGCATCCAGCCCAAAACCTTGGCATGTGCCCTGACGGAATCAAACCAGTGACCTTTGGTGCATGGGACGACACTTAACCAACTGTGCCACACTGGCTGGGCTTATTCTAAAATTTATATGGAAAGGTACAGGCTGTCTAAAAGGTTAAAACAATCTTGACAAAGAAAAAAAAAGTGAGAACAGTCATCTTGATTTCAAGACATTATATAACTACATGTGATATCAATGGAAGGATCAACACATTGATTAATACAACAGAACAAGGAACCCAGAAAAAGACTCACACAAATATACCCAACCAATTTTTGACAACGGTATAAAAGAAATACAATAGAGGAGGGATAGGCTTTTTAACAAATGGTGCTGAAGCAATTGGACAAGTAAAGGCAAAAACAAACAAACAAACAACAACAACAAAACAAAAAAACCTTGAACTAAACCTTATACCTCTTACGAAAATTAACTCCAAAACAAATTGTAGAATTAAATGTAAAATCCAAACTTTTTAGAAAAAAATATATAGAAAAAAATCTTGAGGATCTGGACTGTGCAAAAAGTTTTTTGGCTTGACACAAAAAGCAAGACCCTTAACGAGAAAAATCAATAAATTGGACCTCATTTAAAAAAAACAACAACTTTTGGTCTTTGAAAGATCCTATGAAGAAGATGAAAGACCAGCTACAGACTGGGAAAAAATATTGCAAACCAGATATCTGACCCCCCAAAAACACCCTAATATTTAGATCATAACTCTCAAAACTCAACAATTTAAAAAATCAATTTAGAAAATGGGTGAAAGGCATGAACAGACATTTGACTGAAGTGGATTAAGTAGACAGCAAATACGCAAACAAGAGAATGTTCAACATCATTAGTCATCAGGGAAATGCAAATTAATATCACAAGGAGATCGCTACACATCTATCAGAATGGCTAAAATAAAAAATAGTGACAACACCTAATGCTGGTGAGGATATAGAGAAGGTAGTTCACACATACTGGTACATTGCTGGTGGGAATGTAAAACGGTACAGCCACTCTGGAAAACAGTCTGGCAGTTTCTTATACAATTAAACATGCAACTACCATATGACCCAACAATTGCACTCCTGGTCATTGATCCCAAAGTAACGGATGCTATGTTCACACAAAAACCTGTTCACAGCTTTACTTATAATTATCAAAAACTGGAAACAACCCAGATGTTCTTCAATGGGTGAACAGTTAAACTGTGGTACATTCATACCATGAAATTACTCAGCAATAAAAGGGAATGAACTATTGATACATGCAACAACTTGCACAGATATTAAGGAAACTATGCTGAGTGGAAAAATGCCTATCTTAAATGTTATATATTGTAGGTTTCCATTTATATAACATTCTCAAAATGACAAAATTATAGAACATGTTAATGATTGCCAGGGGTTAGAGACTAGGGGTATAAGGTAGGTGGGAGGTGAGTGTGACTATAAAATGGCAAGATGAGGGATTCTTATGGTGTCAGAACTTTTTAGTATCTTGACTGTGTAGGTTTATATAGTATAAAACTGCAGACAACTAACACACACAGAGGAGTAGAAGTAAAACTGGAGAAATCTAAATAAGATTAGTGAATTGTAATAATGTCAATTTCTTCTTTGTGATATTGTACTATAATTTTGCAAAGAAAAAGTTATAATGGGGAAACTGGGTAAAGTGTACATGGTAACTCCCTTTTTTTCTTACAACTGCACGTGACTCTACAATTATTTAAAAATAAAAACAGTTTAATTAAAAAAATAAAACCAAACTACAATACACCAGTAGCTTGCTCATGGTTCTAAAAATCTGAGGTAAGGTTAGGAATATAACCACAATTCCCAAATCTCAGGTTCTGCATGGGTTCACTTTAAAACTAAATCTTGTAATTGAAAACTAAAAGCATTAGCAGAAGTTTCAAATTCAAGACACAACCAGATACCTAAAGGACTAGCCTATAACCTCAAGGATCAGGTTGGTATTTTGTTCACTATATATTCCCAATTGCTAGCACACAGTGGCATTTAGCTCACATTCAATAAATGTTTATCGAACATATAAATGAATGAACAATTAATCCCCAATCATGTCTTTTCCCCTCCCCCACACCCTGCTAATAATCCTTTCCCAATCCACCCAGTAGGCACAGAAATAGCATGCAACTAACCTTTCTTCTTGTTTTGCGGAACCTTTTCTTTCTGACATTCTTAAGTGGTGGAGTAACTAAAATAAATTTAACATAGTGAAACATATATAATATTAATGGTAGTCACATATCTATCTGAATTTTATAAGGAGAAATGTCATGTTCTAAACTACTGGCTGATTATATGACTCTTTCCTTAAAGAATGTCTGGATGCCTAATGAACCAAACACCCAAGTGTGGTAAATGGGTCTCTGGTTCACAAGTAATTAGGATTCAACAGATAAATGTAGTCAGCCACAATGAGCAAAAGGGCTGGTGACTTACTGCCATGCTTCCAGCCATATTTTTTCCGTCTCTCCTTTTCCTTTTTCTTGATTTCTTTAAGATCAGTAGAGGTAACTGCTTCTTCCGGAGGAGAGTGGAGACCACAATCCTCAGTGCACACAAGCATCTACATTTAACAAAAACAAAGATGTTGACTATGGACACAAACCTTGGGTTAGTAATGAATCATGATCATTCTTACCACCAGAAGTCCTAGAGCAGGGGTCCTCAAACTTTTTAAACAGCGGGCCAGTTCACTGTCCCTCAGACCATTGGAGGGCTGGACTATAGTTTTAAAAAAAACTATTAACAAATTCCTATGCACACTGCATATATCTTATTTTGAAGTAAAAAAAACAAAACAGGAACAAATACAATATTTGTATTTGCATGTGGCCCATGGGCCGTAGTTTGAGGACCCCTGTCCTAGAGCATAGAAGTAAGGACAATGTTACTTGACATTTCCAGAAAACCAAGTATTACATACATTCATATTCATTCTCTCTGTGTCTTGGCATGTGGAATCTGTATGTGGACTTTGAGTGGGTATTTTTTAGCTTGAGTGTTTAACACTGTAGAAGAAATATGGTTAAAACAGATATATCCTAGCATTTTGATTTAGAAAGAAAACAAAAAAACAAGAGATGATAAGAATCAGCGTAAATCTCAACAGTTAAAAGCATACTGTTTTATCAGAGAGTTCAGAAGAAATCCCAGATGTTCATATCTAGATATATAAAAGCCTAAGCAACCATCCGACCATTGACCATTGGACTGTTTGACTGGTAGCTATGACTTGCAAGATCACCAGGGGGGCAGACGCTCAACGCATAGCCATGGACACATGGAACAGACTGATGAATCTCAGAGAGAAGTGGGAGGGGGGAGGGCATGAAGAGATTAACCAAAGATCTTATATGCATACTAGAGGCCCGGTGCATGGATTCGTGCACTGGTGGGGTCCCTTGGCCAGGCCTGTGGGGATCGGGCTGAAATGGGCCTGGTGCTCATCTGCAGAGTGAGTGACATTCCTCCAGCCGGTGGGGTCCCTTGGCCTGGCCTGAGGGGATTAGGCTGACACCCACTCTCTGACATCCCCCGAGAAGTCCCAGATTGAGAGGGGGCATGGCCCAGCCCAAGGGACCCCACCAGTGCATGAATCCATGCACTGTGCCTCTAGTATTTCAAATAATTAAAATCACTAGAGATGGCAAACAGGGAGCTCTAAAAGCTACTTGGATAAAATAAAATAGTGAAAAGTTATGAATAAAACACTAAACCAGAACATGCCATTGTATTTCTGTACAGTTGAGCTGGGAATTAGAAATGACAAGCAGCCATTCACAAGTGTAAAGAAGCACTGAAAGAAATAGAAAAGGGCCCTGACTGGGCAGCTCAGTTGGTTAGAGTGTTATCCCAATATGCCAAGGTTGTAGGTTCAATCCTTGGTCAGGGCACATACAAGAATCAACCAATGAATGAATGCATAAATATGTGGAACAACAAATTAATGTTTCTCTCTCAAATCAATACATAAAAACAAGGAGAGAAAAGGAGGGAGAAAGGGATTCCTGGAAGGATGTGAGAGCTAGGAGACTAAGAAAACTCATCCATACCTGGGAAATATCTGCCGTTTTATAAAACATTTTATTGTCAAGAGTCTTCAGACTTCCAATAACGCAAGGCAAGTCAACCACCTTAGCAGTTAGTGAGACATCTTTCACCTCAACAGCTGCATGACGTCCATCAGCTAAAGAGAAGCAGGAAAGATTAAAGTTGACATCTTCCCAATGTACTCTTAAACTTCCTAGGGTTTGAATAACTAAGATGTGTGTGGGATAAACTAGTCTTTCAGTGAAGTCTACTATTTCTCATTATGCTAGAACTAGGGGCCCAATGCACAAATTCCTGCACCTTAAAAGGAACCGTGGGCAGCAAGGCTGCAGTGGGCACAGGGGCAGGTCTCAGCCCATCCTCCTCACCCGACCCGGTCCCTCCCATCATGGCCCCTGGTATCCTGTCAGCTGGCAGCCCCGCTCCCTCCACCGCCACTCTCACACGCTGAAGACATGAGCCCCGCTTGCATCCAATGATGGCACAGAGCGAATAGGGCCGGCACCAGCAGTGGGTGCGAGCAGGGCCAGCGCCATCAGTGGGTGCGAGTGGCAGCTGCTGCCCCAATTGCCCCTCAGGAGTAGGGGGATGTGGAGTAGCCCTCAGTGGTGATCAGGGCTGGCAGCCACTACTCACACCCTCTGATGGTGCCGAGCAATCAGGGCCAGTGCCAGGCGCTGGCAGCAGGTGCAAGTAGCAGCACTGGCACCAGCAGCGGGTGCTAACGGGGCCGGCGCCAGCAGAAGGTGGGAGCACTGGGCAGGACCGTTGTGGGGAGCCGCTATAGGGTTAAGCCTCGGACTGACCTGTTGGCAAAGTCACAAACAAGTCCCAGCTTAGAGGGCACAGTCCTCTTAGCATAATTAGGCTTGACCTTATAAGGCTCCCTAGATCTTATCTGGGAAGCTAATGGGCTGAGGGAGGTGCAGGAAGTGGCCAAAACAAGTGAAATTCACAAGAACAGTATAACTATGGTAACCACTACCTTGTTTACCTCTGACTATAAAATAAAGGCTTAGTTTGCCTCTGGATCTTTCACTGTGGTCTCATCCAGGCACAGGAAGATCCACGAAGACTAAAGAGAGCTATGCTGGTCATCTGA